CACTGGTGGCCCTGGTGACAGTCCCCGCTGTCCTGCAGGGCTGCCCCAAGGTGCGGCGCATCCTGGAGATCTGGGAGAGCGGGCACGGCGTGGTGTCCGTGCTCTGCTTCCAGAACAGGGTCCCGGCAGAGGCCTACACGAGGGAGGGCTGCATGGTGGAGGCGCTGGGTGAGCAGGGGGGGGATCCTGGCACTGCCCCGATGCCCAGCACAGCCCCTGCTCCCCACATCCCTCTGCCACCCCTGCAGTAGCCAGGGGCTGGTCGTGGCGGGGGGTGCAGCCCATCCTGGGGACTCTGGGATTCCCAGTTCCCAGTGGAGGGTCTGGTACAGCCCCCAACCCCCCATTTCCAGTGGGAAAAGCTGCCTGGGAGCGGGTGATGGTGGGGGGTGTGGGGCCACCTCTGTCCTCACAGGGCTGTGGGTGCTGGGGGGGAGCAGGGGGCCGGGTCCGTGGGTGCTGACCCCGCCCCCACGGGTGCTGTCCCCCTCCCCACAGGCCTGCAGACCCTCACCAACCAGCGGAAGGGGCACTGCTACGGGGTGGCCGCGGGCTGGGCGCCCGAGCGGCGCCGGCGCCTGGGGGTGCACATGTTGTACCGGGCCATGAGCATCTTCCTGGCCGAGGGCGAGCGGCAGCTCAGGCCCAGGGACATCCCTGGGGGGTGCTGAGCACCCCGGGGCGCTCAGCTCGGGGTGGTGACTGCGCTCGGGGTGCAGCTTTTATGTGTGTGACTGCTGCGAAGGTTGTTTCTGTTTTTCTGCTTCCCCGCCACCGGGTGGCCAATAAATCACTGAGGGGGTGGGTTTGCCTTTAAGAATTCCGAGCTGTGGGAGATTCTTGGCTTCCCATCCCTGCTCTGCCGTGCTCCTGGGGCACAACCAGTGCGGGGGGACAAGCAGAAGGGCACCCCCCCCACCTCCCCAGCAGGCAGTCGGACACAGCTGGGCTATAGCACGGCTTTACTGTGGAATGGCACTAATGCAGCTGCGGGTTCCGTGTGCGTTTGCCTCGTCTTTAGCACAAGCAAATGTGGGGACAGACCCCCTGGGGGACAGAGCTGGCAGAGCTGTGACCCCCGACTGGCAGAGCCGTGTCTGGGGGGACGTTTGGTGGCGTTTCTGGGCACCCTCTGCAGCCCCGGGGTGTGCTGGGGGGTGGAGGGGGGTCTTCCTGGGCAGGAGGGGGTGGGAAGGGGCAGAGGAAGATGATCTGAACCCAGGGGGCTTAAAATTCTCATTATGAGACAGCAGTGGGAAGGGCAGGCACTGGCAGAGGGGACACAGGGGATATGTCACTCTGGGCCTGGTGGACCCTTCCTCTTCCACATCCCTCAGTCTGGGGACAAAGGTGGGCTCAGCCCCTGGGAAGGTGCATTGCAGGGTGATCCCAGCTCTGGTGGGAGTGGCCCTGCCCAGGAGGACCCCCCTGAGCCCCCTGGGGATTCCTTGGTGCGGTGCCAGCCCCGTTCAGGGCACAGGGGCTGGAGTGGGGGCCGAGGGTGAGGTTTCCGTAGGACTCATCATTTCTTTGGTTTAGATGGGGTGAGTGAGGGGGCAAACAAAGCAGGAGCAGGGCAGGGGGAGGCTGGGCCTGCCTCCCGGGCACAGCATCCTCCTGGATTTCTGGGAGCCCCGGGAAGCTGGGATGGCACTTCCTGGGTACCTCCTCAGCCCTGCCCAGCTCCTGGCAGCAGGATGGGAAGCACAGGGATGGGAGGTGACGGGTTATGTACAGAACAGTGTCAGTGACGGTGTCTGTTGTGATCAGGTGGTCCTGGTTCTCTTCCTCTCTCCCATGTTGCTCCGAGACCCTGCGGATCCATCTGGGAGCCATCGGGAAGGACGGACATGGAGGCCACGGGACAGGGTGTTGCTGCTCCCCCACTGCTCGAGGCACAGCTGTGATCCCAGGGGTGGTTTGTAGCGGGTCCTGGAGCCGTGGTGGAGCTGGGCAGGGCGGGTGGCTCGGGATGGGGGTAGGGACGGCTCCGGGGGGCTGCGGCAGGGGGAGCGGGGGCTGCGGAAGCGCTGTGGTACCTAAAGCGATGGAGAGGGGACCGGGGGGGACGTGGCAGAGCTCAGGCTCGGCCCTGCCACAGCCAGGCCAGTCCCACCTCGGCCCTGGCCGTGCCCACGGGGGCAGGACACCTCCTCATCCTCTGTGCAGGAGCTGCTGCCGTCCACGAGGAGCCCCTCGAAGCTGCCACGTGGCTGTCCCGTCCTCCCGGCTGGCTCGAGAGGCAAATCCCGCTGCTGAGGCCCAAGAGCCTTTGGCTTCCCTTCTAAAGCAATCCCAGCTCAGCTCCTCCGGCCCTCCCGGAGCCCCTGCGAGTCCTTCCCGTCTCGCCGCAGGTGGGACCAGTCCCCGGAGGTGTCGCTGCGTGAGGAAAATAACACTACAAAGGAACAGGATGAAGACGCTCCGGCGCCGTCCCCGCGGGGGTGGGGACCAGGTCTGCCCGTGTTGCCGCTGCCGGCCCTGCACTCCCTGCCCTGGGGGAGCCTCCCTGCTCCCCCTCCAGCCTCCGGCACGGCCGGGAAACCAAACGGGCTGCGCTCCCGCCGAGGGCAGCCCCCGGAGCCCCTCCGCTCTCCCAAAGCCCTCTGCGCTCCGAATCATCTCTCCCATGGGAGCAGCCCGGTCTCCGTGGTCCCGCTGCCTTATTTCTTCTCCCCGTGCCCGTCCCCAGCTGGCGTCTCGGGCTCCCACAGGACGAACTCGTGGAGCAGCGTGTTCACCGTTTCGGGGCACTCCATCATCACCATGTGGCTGCCCTCGTCGATCACCTTCAGGAAGGCGATCAGCAGGATCTGCGGGGAGGGGGAGGGGTTGGTGGCACAGGGTCAGCGCTTGGAGGAGCCCCCTGGGCCATTCACCCCCAGCCCCGCTCACGGAACCGACGCGGTTGGAAACGACCTCTGAGGCCGAGCGCAGCCTCTCACCCCGCCCCGTACCTCGGCCATCCTCTGGTCCTCCTCCACCGGGACGAACTTGTCGTGCATGCCGTGGACCAGGAGCACGGGCACGGCCAGCTCGGCGTGGTACACCTCGTCCCCCTCGGGCCAGTACTGCCCGCTCATCATGGCCCGCAGCACGAAGGACGAGACGTTGAAGGCGTTGCCTTCCTTCAGCAGCTGCTTCTCTTTGGCACCTTGGCGGGCAAAGCCGGCCCTGCAGGAGGGGAGCTGAGGGTCAGCCCGGCCTCGGGGGCATGGGGGGGAAGGAGGAGGTGTCCCCGTCCCAGCCCTCCCCGTCACCAGCGTGGCCACTCACTTGAGGAAGCTCCAGGCCAGGCAGGGGGACAGGCAGTGCAGGACACACGTGGGCATGTTGAAGATGGAGCACAGGCTGGGCTCCAGCGCCGTGGGGCCCCCGCCGTTGATCATGATCACCTTATGGACCAGCTCTGGGTACTCGTGGGCGAGGAAGGTGCAGAAGGACACCCTGCGGGGACAGACAGACATGGGGACCACGCCCTGACCCCCGGGCTGGGGGGGCCCTGGCACAGTCTGCCCAGAGGAGCTGTGGCTGCCCCATCCCTGGAAGTGTCCCAGGCCAGGTTGGAGCAGCATGGGATAGTGGAAGGTGTCCCTGCCCATGGCAGGGGGTGGAACTGGATGGTCCTTAAGGTGCCTTCCCACCGAAAGCATTCCAGGGTTCTGTGATCCCCAGGATCCGTGGCTACTCCCCTTTGTTTGACCCCCTTTCTGGGGCAGGGGACACAAATTCCCCCAGCAGAGGGGCTGAGCTGAGGGTTTCCCTCCTGCCCAGAGCAGAGCAGGGTGCTGGGACCCACTTGGGTGCCCGCCAGCCTGACCCAGCCTTGTCCTGGTCTAATCCTGCCCGTCTCCAAGCCGGCTCCAGCTCCCTCTCCTCCCAGGCACTGCTTAGTCTCTGTCTAATTGACTTTCTTGGGCTTACCCTATTTATAGGCCCTGCTCTGCCAGCTTCCCCACCAGAGGCCAGGCTCTGGGATTAGCTGGGCCCAGGGACACCCCCCAGGAGGATGTAGGAGATCAGAGCTGAGGGATAAACCCGGAACAGGAACCCTCACGCCCCCGAGACGCGGGATTTGTCAGGCGTTCACTGCCAAGGAGGGGATGGGGAGGCAGGGGGGTGAATCCATCTCTTCTCCAGGCCCCTTACCCATAGGAATGCCCTATCAGGATGTTCCTCTTCTTGGCGTAGCGCTTGAACACGGCCCTCATGTCCTCAGCCAGGGCGTAGAAGGTGTAGGCGGCGGCGATCTGGGGGGCCGAGCTGCAGCCGTGGCCCGCCAGGTCCGGGGCCACCACCTCGTAGCCCAGCTTGGTAAAGAAGTCCAGCTGCTCCTTCCAGATGTCCAGGGAGCCGCCCACGCCGTGGATGAAGAAGAGCACCACGTCGCCGTGTGTGCCCTTGCAGCTGGTGATCTGCTTCTTGCAGTCGATGTTCACCACCTTCTTGGGCCTGCGCTTGCGGCGCTTGGCAGGCGCGGTGCCCGGCGTGCCGGCGGGGCCCTGGGCGGGAGCCTGGCCGGCCGCCTCGGGCAGCTCCAGCTCCACGGTGCCGCCGGGCTCGGCCACACCGCCCTGGCACTGCAGGATCTCGGAGCGCACGGCGTCGCCCAGGTTCTCGATCACCAGCTGCCCGTTGCGGTACAGGGTGATCCTGCGCTTGCAGTGAACCACCCCCCGCTCCGGCGCCCCGGGCTGCGCCTCCTCGGGCTCCTCCGGGGCCGGGCGGACGGGAACGCTGTGCCGGACCCGCAGGATCCGGCCTGGCTTCACCTCCACGAAGCTGTAGCCGTTGCCGGACTCAACGCTGTCCAGCGGCCCCACGGCGTTGGTGGTTTTGCCCATGAGGCAGCACAGGAGCCCATCGGTGATGCTGTTCAGCATTATGCTCCCTGCAGAGGGGAAAAGGGGGGTTAGGCAGCAGCTCCAGCACCCACGGGGCCCTGGCTGGGGCACAGGGGAGCAGTGACAGCCCTGTCCCCCCTCCCTCGCTGCCAGCCCCAGGAGAAGCCGTGGTGGCACAGGACGTGCCTCTGAAATGCCTTTGGGGTGATGGTGATGCTCCCCCAAAATCACAGCCCTGCTCAGCCTCCTGCACATGGGCTGAGGGATCAGATCCCAGAGGGATCCGGCATTCCCTGTCCTGCTTTGTCCGAGCCATGTCCTTGTCACCCACAGCCCCCGTCACGCGATCTCAGCCCTCCGAGGAGGGACCTGCTCTGACCGAGGGGAGAAACACGCAAAGAAAAGCCTGTTCGAGACAAAAAATTCTCTTTGTAGCACCAAATGTGGAGCAAAGGGAAGAGCCAGCACTGGGAATGCATTATTTATACCAATTAAATATATATATACACACACATCTCGAGCCTAAACGAGAGCTGCTCCAGCAGCGAGGTGGGAATGACAGGGACGGGAGATGAAGGATTTAATTAAAATCACTCCACAAACCACAGCTGAAAATAACACAGCAAGAGAAGGAGCAGGGGGGGTGAACCCCCTCCCGCCTCCCCATGTGGTCTGGGGGGGCTGTGACACTGTCCTTGATGTCCCCAGAGCTCATTCCTTGGCTTTGGGAGAGGCTGCAGATGGGGGGGGACCACCGAGGCTGGTGGCAGCGGGGACACTGATGCCAGGCCTGGAGCCCGGCGGTGCCAGAGGGGCTGGAAGGTCCCTGGATGGCAGCAGGGAGGGTGTTCATTATTGATGAGGCAAAACACGGTGAATTATTGATGCCAACGGGCAAAAAGCGGAGCAGGAGCTGCGCAAAGGGCTGGGCCTGCGGGAGGGGGCACCGTGACCCCCTTGGAGAAGGAGAAGCGTGTTTCCATCCAGGAATTCAATGGATGGATCCTGTGATCCTTCAGGAAGGAGCAGCCCCTCAGCTCCCCCGGGCAGCCTGGCAGGATTACAGGCACTGGGCTGGCACATCATGCCAAGGAAAACCAGGCTGGAGGCAGGTTGGGAGCACAGGGGTCCCTCTCCGTGGATTTTAACACTCATTCCACCTGGGAAAGCCAACACCAGACCCTCCTCAGTGACCCCCAGGGATCCAAGCGCACCCAATGCACTCCCAGGGCCCGAACAGGCTCCCAGGTGCTCCAGCCCCAGCACAACACGCTGCTCGAGGGTTTTCCCAGGAAAACCAGCCTGTTTGCTCCAGGCAGGCCATCCTGGTAACAGTTCCCTTGGCAAGGCCAGAGTGGTTTATCCAGGGAGTGCTGCCAGCTCCGGGAACAGCAGCCAAGGTTTGATTCTCACCCGGCTCCGTCGGGCACAGCGTCCTGACTCCCTCACAGGCACCACCGAGGGTCTGGGGGCTGGATGTGGGGATTGGGAATGAGCAGAGCTGGGCCTGGGGGGGCTCCTCCTCCTTTGGGGCTCCCCTGGCACGCCTGGGCTGGGATCCAAACCCATCCAGGGAGCCGGAGAGCTCCCTGGGTGCTCCGGGGATGGACCCATCCAAGCTGCTGAGCTTGGAGGTCTCGGAGCCCTGGGAAGGAGAAGCCAAATCCAGGGCTGGCTGGCAGAAGCTGCGCTTCCAGCTGGGAGCTGGGCCCGAGGAAGCGGCACCAGCCTGGCTGGAGCCCCGGCTGGAGGAGGCCCCGCTGCCCTTCCACCAAAATGGACACGCCAAGGCTCTGTCCATGCCCCCTGCCAGCCTTGGGAGGCTCTTGGTCCCTCAGCTCTGAGCTGGGAGTGCTGACCAGAGGGATGGGATGGGCAGAAAACAGGGAGATGTTTGAACTGAGGCAGCCCCTGAGCTCCTGCATCCTGCACAGCTCCAGCTCTCAGCCCGTGGAGCCAGGATGTGATCCCTCCTCTGATTCCCACCAAGCCTGCCCTGGCACTGAGCCTCGGTTCCACAAGGTCCCGAGGATGTCGGTGTGGATTATAAACAGGAGTCCTGGCCAGCCCGCCCCGACATTGATTAACTCCTCGGGATTAACTCAATTAGTCCCTCCTGCTCATTCCCAGAATTGATCTGCTGGAAGGCTCTGGCAGAGGATCTCTGCAGGCACATCCAGGGGCTCATGCCTTGGAGCTGCCCTCAGGCATTGCCAGCGCTGGGCAGGAGCCTGGACCCCTCTGCAAGGGGGGGATCCCACTCCAAGGGCTGTATCCACTTGGATACGCCCAGGCTGGAGATCGTGGTCCGGGATGTGGCCATCCCCGATGGGCCTCTGAGCAAACAAATCCTGGAATTGTGGGATCGTTGGGGTTGGAAAAGCCCTCTAAGCTCGTGGAATCCAACCATGCTGTTGAACTGCGCTGTCCCCAAGTGCCACATCCACACGCCTCCTGCACACTTCCAGGGATAACACGGAGCACATCCCAGTCGGGGGCGTTCCGAGGGGACTGGAGGGACGGGAGGTAAAGTGGCTCCGTGTCAGGCCTTGTTTTGGGGCTGGGAAGTGAATGGTTCCCGTCTCCCACCTCCCACACACCTCCTCTAACCCAGCGCTCCGTCTGCCGCCGCTCAGGCAGCCAGAAACATCCAGGGATGTTCCCTGGGAGAGATGAAAGGGGCTGGAAATGAAAGCAGATGGATGCGAGGAACTTTGCAAGGATGCGGGTAACCATGGCGACGAGCTGCTTTCCCCCCCCCCCCCTCATCCCGGCTCCCTCCATCGCCTCTCCCGGCCGGGAGCGGGATTTCGGCACCGGTTACATAAGGCCAGGCACAACAATGAGTCAGGCGCGGCGGGATCCTGCCGTCGGATCCCTCCCATCCCTGTCCCGAGGGCTTGGGAAGGCGGTGGCGTCGCCCCGAGGTCGTACCTATAGCCCCGAGGTCGTACCTATATCGTGGTCCTCCCCCTCCCCCCCAAAAATCCCACCTGCCCTCAGGAAACGTCTCCCAGCAGGGATGGGAGGTCCGAGGGATGCTGGGGAAGGATCCCAGGATTCAGTCCTAGCCCTGGTCCTGGAGCATCCCTGCAGAGTTCCCTGGGTGGGAGGAATAACCTGGCTGGGGAAAAACAACTTCCTGACCTACTTCGGGGCTGCAGAGCCTGGGGTTTGATACAGCTGGGGAAACGTGGGATGAGATGGGATGTGGCAGCCAGGAGGGAGCAGAGGCTGAGGGGGGAACGTGACAGGCGGGGACACGGGGCTGGAACGGGGGTGTGGGGATGGCACAGGGGACATGGGAATGACAGAGTGTGTGGGGCTGGCACAGGAGTGTCCGTGGGGTCCATGGGGGTTCAGGGGGCAGCACAGGGGACACGGGGCTGACACTGAGCCTGTGGTGTATCAGGGCAGTGCCCATTCCTGTGTTACCACACCGAGGTCACACACAGGATGGACCAGCCAAGCTGGCTCTTCCATTGCCATTCCAGCAGGGAAGAGGGTCACCCTGCCCCAAACAGCCCCTGCTCCTGCCTCCCTGGGCCCTGCCCCTGCACAGACCACTGAGGGTAGCCAATATCCCAAACATCCAGGGGGCTGGGAGCGACCAAAATTTCCTCCTCCTCCCCCTCCTCGGGGTGACCACTCACCCCTGCCAAGAGAAGTCCTGGGAAACATTTCATCCCAATAAACAAACCAAGAGCAGCGTTTCCCAGGGGGACAGTGGGAGTTGGTGCCGGAACCAATGGCCTTGAACGTCCCCAAAATCCCCTCAGAACCCCCATCCCCTCCCAGCCCAGAGCTCTACATCCCCTCAGGGAGTAGCAGGGGCTTGGAATTTGCTGATTCCTTGCAAATCCTCGGAGGGGAAGCTCCAGAGAGGAACAGGAGCTGTGCTGCAGCCCCAATCCCACCTGCCAGAGCAATTTGTTGGGCTCTGATCCCTTCCCCCCGGGGCTGCCGTGTGTTAATGATGACACACGACCCTCCTGAGGAATGGGCAGATGTTATCCTGCTCTTCCCACCCTCTCCCAGTCCTTCCCTCTCAGCAAAGAGTGGAATCTGCAGCACCAAACACATCAGAGCAGGTTTTTTTCAAGCACCAAGCGCAGAGAAATGCAAGAAGAATCCTTGGGCTGCCTAATCTCAGTCCTGGAAAGTAAAACTCCCCCTGGAAAAAATGGGAAAACCCACTTCAGCTGGATTTGTTCTTCCAGGCCTGGCTTCCCTGTCCG